ATCTGGCAGTTGAGTTAAACAGACCAAAATACAGAACATTCTCGATGGCTTGTTCTAACAATAAACTTTGCTGAATGTTCCCGTTAAAATGATCAAGATGTTTGGGGATTGCTGTAACTTTTTTAATATTAAGTTTTAAAAATATTTCAGAAGCTGAGGAAAAGAAGAAACAAAAATAAGAGATAATTATTAAATGCCAAGTTTGTGACAGTATCCAGGTACTTGCTTTTTACTTCCATTCATAATTGAAATCATGTTTGATTGTGTTGCAAGTGCCATGCTATATCACTGCTCTAACCTACTGATCCTATCACACTTCACACTTTCAGGGTCAGGTCTTCTCTCCTGTTGGTGCCCATGGGCTCCTCTCCTTAACATTAATGGCAAGTAGGCATGCACATCAGTGGGAGAATTAAATAAATGTTTAGCTGTTACTGAAAATTCAGCTTCAGGAGGAAGTCAGTCTGCCTTACAAGTGACAAGCCATAGTTTTAAAGACTGCTTTAAATAGGACAGCATTTTTTCCTCCAGAGAAGTGTGATGAGTAAGTAAAGGGCTCAATAAAACTCTCAGTTAAATGGAAGGGCATTCTGCTGTTTCAGGTTGCAACAGCTCAGGCCAAAAGGCTTCCCCTCAAACCTCGTTCTCTGATTTTACCACTGAGTTTTTGTTAGAACTTCTATGTGTAAGAGCAATCTGCATTCAATACCTAAATTAAAATGACTCCTTCTTCTGCTTCACTATATTAAAACTGATGGTTTGCATTTCAGAAATCTTAGGGAGCTGGGCAGGTCACAGGAATTTTGCACCAGTACCTTATTGTAAGAGGTACAGAGTGCCCTTGACTTCTAAGGTCTGGTGACTGCCACAGGACAGCTTCTCAGGGTGCTGGGGAGTTTGCAGGAGCAAGTCATTAGGGAGAAAAGAGAATGAATCAGTAACACAAACACGAATTTTAGACAACAAAAAAATTGCTCCAAAGGTGCGAAAAATGGGAAAGTATTGAAGCTGGCACTGCATCTGCCATCAGGAATGGTTGCAAAAATTTACAGGTGAAAATATCTCCTACAGTAAATTCCATAAATCTGTTTTCAGCTCAAGTATTCTCTTAATTAATAAACAATGTTCAGCTCCAGTAAGAGCATATACATTCATTCCAAGGGCTCACCATATTTCAAAATCTAATTATTAATGAGGTTAGAAGATTTTAATTGGATTTAGAAATTCTGTCCTACTTCTCCAGTAGCTACACCTTGCCTAACTTCTGCCTTTGCAGTCAGACCTTGCAGTGCGGTTACAATTTGGATGTCTTAAGTCCTGAGCATGAGGCAGCACCATGGGGACAAAGCTTTGGATCTTTCCAGTACTATCCTCCTTCCCTGTGCCGCCTGGCTGAACGGAGAACAGAAGCATGGCTCTGCTGACTCCTTGCCTCCATGTATGTGGGAGAGAGTGATGTCCTGCAGATGCTGTACAACCTCTCGTCCTTCTGCACAGTGATTTCATGCTTGTCTGTACTGCCCTTCACAATCTTGCCATCTTGCCCTTACCACAGAAAGGAACTAAAAAACTTTTTCGTATTTATAATACTTTACAAAGACCTATGTGAAATGTTCTAAACATTAAACCAAATAGGTCACATGCAGAAATGATGCAATATTTTCAAGAACAGAATCTGTAAGAATATCACTGTTCTATAATTATTTAAGGCTACACTGACAGGAAACAGACTCAATTCAAGAACTGTAATCTCTACATGGTATATTGGCACACAGAAAAGTAATTTGATAAACGCTTCCAAGTACTTCCTGTACTTTTGAACAAAGGTAAACAAAAATGCTATTAAAAAAAGCACAGACAACTCTGAGGAAAACACAAATACCTCTAATTTGTTTCTGAGACTTTGTTCTTTAGAAATTCTGTTCCATACTTAAGACCTAACTGAATGCACAGAAACACACTGTATGTATAAGCCCTTATGCAGGGTTTAAAAAACCCACTGTCTAAAGGCAGATTTCAAATACAAGAGTATAGGTTTGCATGAAGCAATAAGAAAAACAAAATTACAAAAAAATCATAAGAATGGGATCTAGGAAGAAAAAACAACATGACAGCTATTGATACTATAACTAATTCAAAAAAATCCCAGGGCAAATCCAGTTATTGGTGTGACTTGTTTTGCATGACAAATCCATATTCTACTGCCTCAAAATTAAACATTCCTTTCCATTCTTTATACATTCAGTTCCCAGCCCTTGTACAGTATAAATCCAAGTAAGCTAAACCTCCTTCTGTGAAGCACAGACTGGACCTGGATACCTTGGGAAAAGTCACATGACCAAGAAAGAGATTCCTCTTCCCAAATGTGCCCAACACAAACTACTATAAATCTCTGCTGTGTCTAAATTAAGATTTCAGTGTCTTAGAAATCTGAATGGTTAGATGTAAAACTGAAACAATGCAACCTACAAACAGAAACCCAAGTCATGACACAGTTTAGTTTAGTTCTGTAAGAGGTTATTTGCTGCACCTTCCAAACTGACTTCTTCATTTGTTCAATGGTGATGTTACGTATATTCTCCACTGGGATTAATTTGCTCGGTTCTTGCTGTTAAATACTGTACATTATTTTATAAAGCAAAACCTGTACAAAGAGACAACCATCAAGAGACAGCTTTCAGCTTTAGGAAAGAGCATCCAAATATCCACAAACAGAAAGAGTAAAACCACTTCCACATCCATTGACAAATTGCTTTTGAACAGCTTCTAAGTCAGTGTTTCTACTACATGGAAAGCAGAAAGGATTCGGAAAATTGGAGCATTTTCCTTATGCATATAAAATTAATGTTGATTTTTTTATTAAATTCTACACTCAACATCACATTTCATAATCTGAGCAACAAAAAGGATTGAAAGAGACAACTTGTATTGTATTACTGCAAGACCATTCCTGTTTAAAGAAAGTTTTTGCATTATTTGTATTTAGTAAATAAAGCTTCTGTAAATGAAGCAGCAGTGCAATACCAGGAGAAAAAAAAAAAAGGCCTGTAATAATGTTTTAAATCTTTAATCAATAAAAACTGAAAGCCTGGCTCTGCAAATAAACCGCTCAAAAGGCACCAAATAAACCAAGAAGTGGAATTACAATATCCTTTAAAAAGGACTTAATGAAATTGTTAAGTAGTGTGAGAATTTGAGAACCATGTGAAATATCTTTATTATAGCATACTCACTGTCTCCAATCTCACTGTACTTGACTGTCTGTATACCCTAAAGCCAGGATTGTATTATAAAGAAATTCAAGAGAAGAACATTTGTCCTAATGAGAACGCTCTAGGCAACCACTAATAACAAAATCCAAAACTTCACTCTTCTACCCACCAAGTGCTACAACAGTCAGTGAAGTCCCATATTAGTAAGACATCACCATCATTTATAAGGGGGGTAAAAAAACCCAAAAACCTCTTGCTTTCCACACAGTTAACAAATTAAACAATTAAAAGTAAGTGAAACTTATAATTACACACAAAAAGAATATTTGAATTGGGAAGCCTTTTAAAAATGTTTACTCAATAATCCACAATTTTAGTAATATGAATTAGATTCAGCAGTCAGCAAATTAATGTGATTCCAGTTAAAGTATTTGGGACAAACAGGAATCTCAGAAGCACTGATATTTCCCTAATTCCGGTGGAAGCCATGAGTGTTTATCTGATGGCAAACTTTCTTGTGATACTGCGGCTTCTCAATTGTGTCATTAGAAAGCTGTGTTTCCCAACTTGAACATAAGCAAAGCAAACTTCTATTTTGGGTACGAACATTCATTCAATTGCTTGCAAATCACTACAAAAATAACTTACTGATGTTCTCTTCTCCAAGAAGGAAGGTAAAAACTCTTGGTCTGCTCCCTACTTCCAACAACCAGCATATGGTAATCCCTAAAACAGCTCAGAAGAGACTCAAATGGATACCTATTTGAACCAAAGCCATAGTATTTTGCATTCATTCAGAGCAGTTCAACTGCTGCCACTTCCTTCACAGTCTTTCAACCTAACTTCCAATTGCTGACATTTTAAAGAAATCCATATCAATTTGTTTAAAGAAAATATATTTTAGTAAAGTCGTGCTCTATGAGCTTCCTACATTGGAATACATGAATACAGGAAGTGCTTTCAACAGAAAGTTACATAGTTTTACAGTACAACCTGTCTAAGGAGATTTGGAAGGGACCAAACTAATGATCTGGTCTCTTTGGATTAGGCAGAAGTACAGGCAAGAGGGAAAAACCCAATTTATGCCATATATAGAGCTTGTTCCTGTCACAGATTGAAGAAACATTAGTTTGATGTCAAAGTTCACCTGATGCGCAAATACTAGTATTTTTCAAACCAACTGCATATCAAACAATGAAAACTTACTTGTACTAAGCTCCTGGAAAGAAACTCAGTGTAAAACAACAGTATATTCATATTTGCTATATTACTAAGTGTTCTCCACCATTGGTGGTTTGGGGTATTTTTGTTTGTTTTTTTGGGGTTTTTGTTGTTTTTTTTTTTTCCTCTACAGATCATTAACTTTTTCTCAAAGTGCAAATTATTGACCTTTAGTCTGAATGCAGGTCAGAAGCTACAGTATTAGAGCAATACAAAAAGTACACAAGGAGGAGCTTACATTAATTTGGAGAACCTTACACAAAATGTTTCTGAATTGAAAACCACAAAACAAACCCAAACATATATAGCATCAGGTGGATGGGGGAGGGACTGCTAACGTATCTGTGTACAGCAAGGCTTCTCTGACACCAAGGAAGTGTCTGACGCTAAGTGAAGATTATATATTAAATCCCACCATTTTGCATGTTGTGCATTCTTTACGATGGAATGTTGACCTCAATTTTTGTTTTTTACTTCCACAACAAATCTGTTGATTGTGACCGGGGATGATCATCTTCTTGAGAGACCAAACTCCTTTAAAACTACAACTGCGCTTTGAACCATCCATTACGATTCTAATAAAGTATGCCATCTACATACTTGCTGTCCTTTAGATTCTTTCATTTCAGTCCAGTGATTGAGTTCATCTTCTCCTGAGCTGTTGAGACCTAAGGAAATCCACCCTATCATCTCTTTTCGTTTCATGCTGCGCTTATTATATACAGACAGTATGAGTGTCACATCTGAAAGCTGAAAGAGTGCCACTTGGAAAACGAAGGTTTCTTTGTATACCGGATTTGGCTGTCCTCGGCGGATTGAAGTTTTGCATTTGGACATCTCTTGCCCCATCGAGTTCAGCAGTGTTAACTTAACATACGTATCTACAAAATAAATTGTATTTTGGAATGTCAGATACCTTAGAACAAAAGGTTTTGAGAATGAGATATTTACAAGACACAAGGATATGGTGTATACCAGGCTGACTGAACGCAGCTTAGTTTAGACACATGAAAAGATGACAAGTAAGCAAAATATTACAAACACAGTAACAAATTTACTAGCTTCAGTACTATGTAAATGAGTTGAGTTAAAGATATACCTCATAATCCTCTTCCCATTGACCCCCCCTTATTTGTTCTAAACAAAGTTAAATTGCATTAACACTTAGCAAGCTCCAACTAGCCACAACACTGTAAAGCATACCACTGAATTTTCAGAGAATAAGAATAAACAAAGTAGATTGAAGACAACTAATGAAGAGAAGAAAAAATAAGGTTCATATGCAGTGATGATATCAAAACAGCCAGAATGAAATGCTTAAGAATAATCTCTGCATGGATGTGGTTTTCACTTTGGGCTTTTCAATTTTGTTTATTTTAAAGACCAAAATGTAGCAAAGTGTATTCAAAGGTAGAAGTTTACACAATACAAAAAACATCTTAATTCCTAGATTCATGAAGGAACACATTTAATACACCTTTAAAGAGAAATAAGTTTTTGCATCATTCAATATGGTTGTTTAAAACAGCTTGCACAGTGCTCTTCAGAAATACATTTAAGAAGCTCATGCACGTAAATGTGGTTAGCACACATTGGGTGTTAGAATTTGGGTATAAACCTTTATTTTTAAAGCTCTATTTTCATTTGACTAGAAGCACCAAGCCATGTTCCTGCAGAAGGATGCACATTTCATGAAGTTATAACTGATTTTAGGAAATACAGAACTGTATAAAATAGTCTGGTTTTTCATTCTTTATTCCTGTCATATTCATGTAAATGAATAATATTAAAAGATTGGAGCTTATATAAAAAAACCCACATTGAATATTTTCACTTTGCAGTTACACTGAAATCACAACATCCATAATCAGAGATAAATGCAACTTTTGCATTAGAATGCCACAAATGACAAAGGCATACTTTCATAAACCAATATGGTAGGCAGCTGTGGATAGCTTTACTGCTGGCAAGTTTTCTTTTGCATGAAAAAGACAACATCCAATTACTTTCTACAGGAACTCACCTCGGATTATATAAACCTGTCCACCTATCAAGTGTTTTAGACAACAGAACAGTCCGTCTGACAACAGGGGGTGGAAAGCAGTAAAAGAAATAATGACCAGATGTCAATAGTTGGGTGAGAGAGGATCAAAGGTTAAAGTTTAAAAGGAAACACTATTCACTGCAGTGGAAGAACACAAAACCTTAGCAGCATAGATCAGAAAAAGGATTGAACAAAGGAATTGTTGGGTAAAATCTAATGAAATGAAAATTCTGTGCAGTCTTTGTGTAATCTTTATCAAAAATTACACTGCTTACATAATGGGTTATCTTAGCACTAACAGCTACTGGGTTCTAAAGCACACCAAACAGAAAGAATCATGCAAATTATTAAATTACAGAAGACTGGGTAAAAATCACTGTATCCTTTTTATCAAACCTTATGCTTTTTCATGCAAACTCCAGCATATTAAGAAAAACTGCACACAGGAATTATACTTCATATATTAAAAGCAATAAAATGAAAAATCAGTGAACTGAAAACTAAGCTGGTTTTGCCCTTAGCTTTTACAGTTACAGATATTTGATTGTAATACCTTATTTCTTGAGTAGCGATGGACTTGAGCACGAGAATGACTCTGATCTAATCTCTAAAAATAGCTGAGGGATGCTTACATCTGAAATTCAACTATGGGTCTTATTTAAAATGTAAAAATCTCACTTGGTAAAATCCATGTATTTATGGATTTAATGTGTGTTTGCATGCATACACACACACATGCATTTAAGGTGCAAATGCTTGTACCCTGTTTCAGTAAAATTTTAAAGGATACTACGAAGCATCTTTTTTCTCGGACAAAACATTAACTGCCACACAGAGAAACGAAAACACATTCTAACATCAAATGTTATTGCCTGCAGGATTTGGCCTATTTGCCTGCACTCAGTTGCTAAATGAGTTACTATATAACATATAAATACGCAGCAGAGGAGTATATACTACCAAGAAGCAGAAATGTAGGACTCAATCCATATTTGCTGCAGAAGTATTTAACAAAAATTGTATAGGTTCACAACCCCTACACTATAGAAAGGATCGCATGTGGGAAAGAATAGTTGCTTCCCTTTCTGCAGACCTGAATAAAAACTGACCTGTGCATGTACTTTGCAGCACTTCTCAGGATTTTGGACCGCTGACGGGCCAAACAGCAAACTTGATCAGAGCATTTCATCGTCAACCCTATGGGCCTTAGCTTTTATTTTGTGGAAGTGATGTCACAGCAAGAGGCTCGTATGCGTCCATGACGCAGCTGACAGGGAGTTAGGAAATGGCAGTGGTATGCACTGTGGGTCCAGAAGTTTATAGGAAGGTGCTACCACTGTCAGGGGGGAGGGGAACAGCACAAAACAGCCCACAGGAGAAATGTGGATTCCACAATATTCTGTGCATGGTCTTACCAGACCCAGAAAGTGCATTAGTTTCCAGCTTTCTAGAAACAACAGAACTCCAAACCCGCATTTGCCTAAACAGAACTGGACTATTATTATTAGGAATATGAAAACTTCCCCCTATACCCTTCAGAGAGGATGACAAAAGGTAACACACAAGATCTTCCCTCCAAAAAGGTTAGACAGAACATAGTATTACAGGGCTATGTACCATGTTCTATGCAGCTTTCCTGCAGTCTGAAACAGATTTTTGACCCCAGTGACACACACACACAACTGTTAGCTAGACAGCATGGGCCCACAGAGCACACTTTGGGAATTAACATACCAGGGAATGAACACATCCATCTTCAAAACAAGTACTGAACCCCATCTAACTTGCATATTCTAAATATTAAGAAAAACTTGGCTTTCTCTAGAGATTCCAGAAAGATAAGCATAAGCCACCTACTGTTTTTTGCTTTAAGGGAACACATAGTCCGTTCTCTCCAGGTCTTCTCTCCTGTTCATTCCTTCCCCCACCCCAGTGTCCTTGGGCCTTCTTGGCTTTCCCCATCTGTTTCTATGCTTTGTCTCCAAACAGGTGACTCTGGGGCAGCTACCTAGCTATATAAAAGTATTAGAGATTCTTCTTTCACCTTCCTTTTCCGGCCATGTTAACAAAAAGTCTGGCTCCATCGGTGTGAAAAGTATAGAGAAAGCAAAGCAGAGTAAGGCTGAGCCAAATGTAATTAACAAGTGGAATAAAACAAGGGTCAAGAAAGAAAGAGGAGAGCATCAGTCTCAAGTTGTTTGGCTTACTTCCTGAACTCTGAAGACAAAGTGAGATGCGCAAACCACTTATAAAATGTTGGCAGCCTGCTACATAATCAACTAGTGTCAGATAATCTGCTAGTGCCATAAAAACGTGGGGATTAAGAAACAGAAAGAGGGGCTAAAACCTGAGCCTCCAGACAAAATCAAGAGGAACAGGTAGGTATGTCTGGCTACAACTTATGTAAATCAGACTCATAATCTAAAAAACAATTAAAAATATTTTTTAAAAAAGTTCATTACTGAACTTTCTCAAGCTGTATCAAAGAATTGGAGACAGTAAAAACATTCTGTGTGTGTGACATTCCATCTGGTTCCAATTTAAAAATGTACAAAGTTCACAGATATTTCAGACAAATGTATTTTTGAACAAATGCTTGAACACACAGTTCAAGTCCTTTCCAATAACGAACATTCCTTCTGCACAAAGGTCTCAATTTGTTTCTCTGTTGTCTTCACTGACATTCCCAAGTTACATATATTACTACCACATATACACAGGCACATAAGCAATTAAAGACTGCAGTATCAACCCCTCTAGGAACAGGAATAACTGTTCAGAGTGTTTATATTAATATTAGCTGGCATGTACTTTCTCTTTAAACACCAACTTTTTATTCTTGGCCTGTGATGTGAGGCATTAGTAATTTAGCATTTAATCATTATGATAAAGGTAATTTATTAATCAGTCATCATGAAAAATTAAAACAGTCTTGTCAACTTACAATTAATATTTTGAATTTTAGATTTTTGCTATTTCCCAACTGACTAGAAATATAAAACATGAAACAGATTAGTTGATGATTGCTCTATTTCATTTTGTTTCGGTAAGACTAAATGATAGGATTGAAGTCCTTGCTACCAAGAGCCTCACCAGTACAGAAGCATTAGGATGAAAAAAGATTTTCACTCACTGGGTGGTCTGTTTGCTGCCAAGTTTTTGAAGTGGCTGCCTTTTATCACTTCTGCTGATAATCTTCCAGTTGTAGCGTTATAAAGGAGGCCAATGAGGATTTCTGGAGCTGAGCCATGTACCAGAGACTGACAAGAGGAGGTACTTTCACTGCAGGACACTTCTGACATGCTCATTTGAGAGTCACAACCCTATAAAACAGATTAAAAGTTCTATGTATTTTATGCAACGATGTCATTGGGAAGTCAATTTTTAGAATAATGCATAGAAAATTAGGAAAGCAATGTACTGACAATAACAGAAGTTCCATTCAAGCACCCAATAAGAAATGTACATCCTTAATATATACTCAGTTCGCATATGTTAGCGGTAACAAAGACTAAAGCAGTCTGGAATTAAAATAATTCTTAATTTTGTGTTTCTGTTGCTTCACAATTCCAGAGAAATAATAGCAGAAGATGAAGAGCAGCCTTTATGGTCCCTATTTACTTCAACTGCTAAGATAAGACCTGTAACATAATTTGTCAGCATCCTGGAGAACATAAAACCTTGGATCTTTTACTTTCCAAAAATGGAAAACACTAGTGGAACTTGGAAGATAATAAAATGCAGGAAATTCTTATTCATCCTTTGTAAAGGTTATTCTCTAGACTGAGAATTTATGAGCAGCAAAATAACAGAACACATGCAAATAGAAAAATGCACTCTGTCTAGAATAAATTAGCTTACAAGGAATTTAATGGATCCAGGGATACAGAATTGCAATAGACCCTTTGTCCTGAGTGGGAAAGGAAGAATGCCATCCCAAGGCTCAGCAAGTGATACTTTAATTTCCACCCCAAAAGCTTCCAAAAAATTCAGTGCTCTCATGCATTCTTACCAGGTCACATCTTTGACGGGAGCTTCTACTACTCATTTTTACCATTTTAACCCCTCGTTACTGGCCTTAAAAAAAAGAAATTACTGATGCTAACCATACCATAGCCGTTCCTACTTTCATTTCTTGATTTCATGCACTGGCACATAAGAGTTGTACCATTGAAAACAAGAAAGTGGACAGAATCTAGCCAATGGCAGGGCAATTTGCTTGGTAGCCGGGAAGAGACTTTTGATTTATCAGTACATCCCTTTATGATTCTCTCAGAAAAAACATAAATTGGATCCACAGATTTTTCAAATATGGCTTGACTCATTTGGGAATCTGGCAGCATTCTTTCAAGGAGTCATGATGATTTTGTGAAGCTGATTCTTCCAGATTCCAAATGTCTCTGTCATTTCCAGCAACAGCTGACATGGGCGCGAGATCAGTCCTAAAACCTAAATAGCACAGATCCTCATCAAGATAAAAGTTAACTTTAAAAGCAAGTAACTTAATTTGACATATAAAGCCCAAATGCATTACAGAATCTTAAATTACAGAAGACACAATACCTACAAGAAGATATTATGAACCTACAATAATATCCTTCTTACTGACATTTTAACCAGTTCTTCTCAACAGAACATTTCCAAGAAGTCTGGCAGAAGTTTCAAGTAGCAATCCAGTTCCTCATTAATAAACATTCACTGTTGTTAGCAAATGTATTCTTACTACTAAAGAAGGACCTCAACAAAATTCTCTGACTTCCATCCCCCAAGCTGCAAATTCTGAATTTTAAATGTTTGGTTATTTTTCCAAAAGTTCTTTATTCAATTCAAAGAATAAATTTCAAATGGGTTGCAAATTGTAAATTGCTGAAAACGAATTACAAGTATACATTCATTCTCTGGTTCTTGGCACTCACAAAACAAGAAACTTTTGATTTCTAACTCCAACAGTAGAATAAAAATGGGAAGTTTAAAAGAAAGATGGCTTGATTCAGCAGTCACAGTACACACTGCACACCTGACAGCCTCAGCTTGTCATAACTGCAGCTATTATTTAAGTTTTCTGGTCTTTTAAAATTGTAACACAGTATCCCTACGGTGCTTATTCATCTTATTATTTTGTTGGGCCAGGAATTTAACCACAGTCAACCTGATAACTGTTCAAAGATTAGGTCTCAAATTTGATGGTGATCATGCTGCAAGTCCACAAAAAAGACATTACACAAAGTGAGCAGCTGGGTAACATTCCCTTGCAAGCCAAAGGGCTTTGACATCTGCTGAGAGAAGGTGATGATAATTCCTAATTGTGACTTATTTATACAGTTTATCAATGTTCTATTAGGGACTCAGTCTAAATCAGTTTATGACAGAGTTAAACTGATTACAGTGGGTATTCAGAATAAGGTTTAGAATGCTAGAAATAGTGAATAGTAAATGAGTGATGACTGACTTGGAATGAGTCCTGAAGTACGTTGAGAGGGAAGACAAGTAGCTTCTGTGTGATATAATAGAGAAGGGGGAAAACAACTGAAAAATGAAACAAGTGTGATATTACAAAGTTACATAAGGATGGGCTAGAAATATCATTCCTTTACAGCAGAATCCTGAGTGGATGTGAGAAGGCCAAGCCTGCATTTGTCACAGCCAGAGGAAAGGATCTCACCAGCTGAAAGGTGGGATGAGAAGACCTAGGTGATGCTTCAGATCTGTAAATGGATGGAAATGCAACTAAGTGGCTGTACTAAGACCTGTTGCACAGAAAGAACTGGTAGATGTAGACCCTCTCTCCAGATTTTCATCAAGGCTAACTTAAATGTTTTGCTACAACATTTTCTAAAACAAAATATTTTGCCTTTTGTTTTGAGACAGGTGGCAGGTTTGAAACAAACAAGAGCACATTGTTTACTCCTTAGTGCATAATAAACTTATGAATCTCCTTCCTACAAAATGTTGTGGTGACAGAAGCTTAAAGACATTAAAATAAAGCAACCAAATTAACTTAAGAGACAATCTGAACAATATTTTGTTTTCCATTTCACATAAAAAAGGACTCCAATGTATTTTGTTTCGTGCTGACCCAAACATATTTTAAAAAATACTCTGCTTTTCAGTTATGAACTGGAAAATCCTAATATAAAAGAAACTGAGATGTTAAGAAGAAAAATGAAGCAGTGAGGTGTGAAGCAGATTAGAAGACAGCCTGATGTTACTGGGTAAAACCAGGGTTAAATGATATAAACCAAAGTATAATTTTTGTGTTTATGATAAGGGAGAAGACAGAGAATTTTGGGGCAAGTAGGTAAAAGGCATGAGAAAAAGGGGAAGGTGAGGTTGTATTTTGTCAGTTTTCTTTTGAAAGAAAACAAAAAGATCCTATAAGGAAGAGAAGAAGAAATAGGAATCAGGGAAGGTAAAGAGACAGCTGAGATCAACAGGGCTCTGATCATCAGCTGAAGAAAGACTTCTCATTGCAGGACAGAGTTAAAATCAGGGATACTGAGTATTATTAGATGTCTTCTCAGAAGTATTTTCTCTAGCACAGAGTTGATTGTTCACATTGTGGAAATCCACTCATTGTTTTAAGTAAGGTGATAATCTGTGATAATCACGTCTGTTGGTAAGTAACCTGACTTTGTGTTAAGTCCGTAAGCTGCACTAGAATTGAAAATAACATTTTTTCAAGTCTCCATTTAGAGAGTTTTTTGTTTACATAGTCAAAATTCAAGAAGAGTGCTGACAAACTCATCAAGAAAAAAGCAAGACAAGAAGTTACATTTTTACCTGCTCAAAATATAAGCTTCATGATCACGTGCCAAATTGTAAAATATTAACACTGAAATTGCTAATTGGTACAACATGAATATAAACTTAGCTACAACAAAGCTTTCATCTCATGACAACATTACAGTGCTACCAGATGCTTTTCATCTCCATACAGATCTGTATTCAGTCTATCCATAAATCTATCTGTAGGCCACTTTGATACTGTAGCTTCACTGTGGGAATCGTAATATTTAGACCAAAAGTTACTATTTGTTTGAAATAATCTGCCTACGTAAGTTTATTTTTATAACCCTTCCCTCTCTTCCTCTATAAACACTGTGTGTATTTTAATAAGCAGGGAAAAAAAGGACTAAGGTTCCATAATAGCAAAGGCCTTTCAAGGTCAGTGAAGCACCAGAATAACTTACTAAGAACTGCTGTAAAATCGTAAATGCAGATTTTTAAGAACTTAAATGAACTGTCAAGGTATCGATGATCTGGCCACAGTGCAAGGAGCTGTCTCTTGAGGTTGTCTCCAGGATATTAATGCTAAATCTCTAACCTATTTCTGTCAATTTAGCCATAATGAAAATATATTATTAACAGTAAACACAAGAAAAAAAACATTAGGTAAAGTCTATTCCAAATATTTGGTTCAAAGGTCTTTCTTACTACAGTAAACTACAAATTTCCAGTTTTTCAAGTTTATAACACAAAGCTTTGCACAAAGGACCTAAACCTTTCCCATATACACTGGGATGTGCAGGATGATACTTTATTACAAAGTAAGGTGAATTTTATTTGATCAACACTTACACGAAGTGCTGCTTTTCATCGGGTTGTAAGAGTAATATGTGTTATATTCTACAAAAACTTAATTACTAATTCTCCAAACTATTGTCCTTAATGACTTCTTTGCATATATTATCTAGGGAAGAAACATCACTTTTTAATAAATATACAATTAAAACATTCCCTTTAAGCGATATTTGTATTTCATATGTTCCTATTGTACTAAAGTTGGCAATCAAAAAAAGAACACTCTTTTTTCCTGAGTGCCAACGGAAGAGAATACATACAATGCATGATGTCAGACCTGAACCCTTAAGAAGTATTTTCAATAATCTTTTTCTCTGTTCTCTGACAACATAGAGAATGCTCTGTTTGCAACAATGAAAATACATGTAAAATGGCTTTATTTGCCTTCCTTCACCATAATTCCATGGAAACAGGATACTTGTTACTTACATATTCATCTCCTACTGTTAGTTTTCTATACCCTGAAGTTCCGCTTATAAATTCTGCTCTTAAGCCAAGTGGTGTTAATCACAGGGAATAATGTGGCCATGCTCTGAGGGCAGTTAAAAGTTCATTTTCCTCATTGCATAGGTTAAAGTCATGCCTCTGTAGCCTTATGAAACAAGAACATCTGATTCTCTTGGCTTTTCAAAATATACACAGGAAAGATGAAACCTCACTGACAATCCTTCAGCAACAAAAATCTGATTCACAGCATGTTACTTGTCAAAATGTCTCTCTCAAATTTTAAATGTTAATGTTA